TTAGGTTAGAGAGGGTTAGTGATACACGAAGGCGAAGAAACCAGAAAAAAGCTTTGTCCTGAGAAATAGGATCCCTTCCTTGCCCGTTGTGTTCCGCAGTGATGCGAATCTCATCGGTACTGACCTCTTCAGCGCTAACGCACCTTTGCTAGACGGCTGAAGAAAGACAGCGAGGGGGAGTGGGGGGGGGGGCGTACCGGGCCGATAGCGCATCAACTGGGCCGCGGGGAAGGTTCCTGTTAGATCGCCAGGTGCATATCCTTCGATGCTAGAAGTGGTCGCGAAAGCGAAGCATAACTATCATCAAGCCGTCCAGTTCTGCACATTTGCCTTCAGGATCGACGGATCGATTGTGGCCTTGAAGGAAATCAAGCTTCAGTTTCAAGAAGGCCTTCCCTTTACGGCTATCAGAGAGGGTGAGAAAAAATCGTTGCCTATTACTGATTGTAATAATTAGCTGGTTATCTGTTTAGCGTCATTACTTCGTACGTTACGTCATGCTAATATTGTGTGCCTTCATGACATTTATCATCAGCATAATCAGCTTACATTCGTTTTTGAATATATGGTAAGTTCTGTGGAAACTCCGCCCCTCCCCCTCCATTGCATACAATCATTTTGAACAATTTCAGAAAATGGATCTCAGTAAATACCTCGAGCGCCATCCGACCGGTGTTGACTGTATGCAAAATAAACTCCTTCTGTTCCAGCTGTTGAGGGGGCTGGACTTCTGCCATAAAAAGAAAATCCTGCACCGGTAAATCAAATGCCTTCTAGTTTGACAACTTTATTTGAGAACACTCTGCTTCTCTGATTCTAATCTGTTCTCTACTTTAGGGATCTCAAGCCTCAAAATCTTCTTCTGGACGACAATGGAGTCTTGAAGCTGGCCGACTTTGGTCTGGCACGGGCAAAGTCCGTACCAAGTAGGACGTACTCCCACGAAGTCGTCACATTATGGTTAATCGGCCGCAGACGTTGGCTGCTTGAAGCACTGAATACTCAACATCGTTGGATATGTGGTAAGTGTTGATGATGATTCCCACTCACAAAGTTGTCAATTAGTTGTGTCCAAATAAGGAAATAAATTTAGGGGTTGGAGTGTATCTTGGGGGCGGACTCTGCAGCAAGGTCAAGCGATCTTCCCCGGCACCAAGGACGTCACGGATCAGCTCGACAAGATATTCAGCGTTCGAGGTGTACCGGACGAGTCAAGTTGGCCCCAGGTTAGTTGCAGAATGGTCATAGCACTTGAACTAAACTACATTGTTGGGGGTGGCTCTTATCAGTTACACATAGCCAAAATTTCGCATTTCATCATCACAACCGGGTCGGTCCTATCGTTGCTACTTTTCAAAAAGTTTTTACGACCCCCCACCCTCATGAAATGTTTCATACGACCCCCCCCCTCTACAAACTCATCAAAATACGACCCCCGTTGCTACTTGTAGCAACATAGGGTTGACCCTGATCACAAGCTATGCCCGATGCGAATCCGCCAACACTCACACTAAGGCTTCATGTAGGTTTCTGTAGCCCCTTCTGGCTCTTTAAAGCAAAAATTATCGTTCGATAGGCCTGGATGTATGTCGCTGAGATTTTTGCAAACGGTCGTTTACTAAACAGTGGTGGCCGTAGCGGCCCGTGAGAAGCAAGCAAATTTCCTTAAAGCAACAGTCCAGGCAGGGTTTCAACTACTTGGTCATTAGGCGGTCAAAACATGCCCCAGCCCAACTAAAGTTTATAGGAAATGTCTTTAATTTCAAAACCTACCTCTAAAATGCGCTGGAAGGGGTCGAAGTCCTCTTGGAGGGGGCGGATCACCCATAAAGAGGCGGATCGCCCAACATTCGCTGTGCAGAGCGCTTGCTCGACTAGCGGTCGTTGCGGGACCGCCGCGCTGTATGAGGTCGATTCCATAAGAACGCAATTGAAGCGCTTCAATTTCGATTGCTGGCAAATAGTTATGTATTTGCAAGCATGCATGGCTATTTGCCAGCAGTTGGAGCGCATGTACTACGGGCAGGTTCGGACAACTCGTCCAACACACATCTCCCTAAACGGCCGGGGGAGTCCCTGTCTAAGCCCCTGCCCGACGTTTTTTTCTACTTTTTCTTTCTCCATTGACCAACTTCTCACCTGCAACGTCATTATAGGTGGTCCTTACCCGCGAATTCGTTCCTGGATTGTTGCTTTAAGAAGAACATTGGAGCTATCACAAGAGACACGGGCATCCTCCAGGGACAGCCTGGGACGGGGCAGGAACTCCAAGGAAAATGAGAATTGCTCCCACACTACATACTGCGTCTCACGCTCCTCACTTGCAGACGCTTTAAGCCGCGTTTGCAACAAATAGGAAGATGCTTTTCCGCGTTTTTAAAAGCATTGTCTCTCACATGCTACGCATCTTGTGATAGCGTCAACATTACTGCCCCTCTCGCAGCTGTTCCGCTGTTACGATGCAAAATAATTTTCTGGTTTTTCGTTGTTTCAGTTCAATTTGTGATTTCGGACAATAGTGCATTATTTTTTCACGTCAGGTGAAGGATCTACCTCATTATTCGTCAAATGCCTTCCCGAATTACAAGGAGATTCCGTTTCAAGCAGGTGAACATTCTGTTGACGAAACTGCAAAAAGCTGGGACGGATTTGCTCGGAATGTTTTTGCAGGTAACAAATTAACATTTCATTTGTAGTCGTTGTCCAGTTAGTAGGAAGGGGGGGGGGGGGCCGGGGAGAAGAGAGAGAGAATTAACCCCAACCTATGTCTCCATATTCTAAGTGAGTTCGATCAGCACTCGCTGAATTCGAAGCCGAAAAATAGAAGGGCATCACCCTGTTTCGCTGCATTTTTTGTAAAAAATGAGAATACTCGTCGCAAACGACCCCCTTTTTCCCCGCCACTACATCCCTCTCAAAAGGAAGCCCCGTGATTAGCCTCACAAGTAATGACCACGTCGCGAATGAAGCTTGTTGGGTTCCTACTCGTGGTCAGAGGTCGTGCCAGATCCGTCTCTACAAAATGCGCGGCAATGCGGGCTAATCGTTGAGGACTTGCGACCATCGCTACCGTACCCAACCACCGCGATTGATATAAAGATCAGCGCGCTTTCCTCGCTTGTTTTGCCTTCTCTGGTCCATCTGCCCCTCCGCCATACCACATCGGACCTTGTTTTTTTTAAAGTTTGGTCCTTAAATTTAGCGCTTTTTGTGGTTTCGTTACTTCTTCTTTTACACTTTCACTCAACTCCAGAGCTCAAGCATCACCAATAAGCGCTCTTATAGAACCGGTTCCAGCCCGTAGCTTGCCTTCAACTTCACCGCTACGATCACCCTGAAGAATCTCAATTACCATCCCCTTTCCATTATAATCACAAAAAGTAGCTAATGATAACCCATAGGGGCGAAGTGGTGTAATGGCACGTGCGCTTACCAAATGCTAGCGGTCCGCGGGGGATGCGAGAAATCCTGGGTCGTGAGTCGCCCGGGCCAAGCCTTCCATCCCTCCGGGGTCGGTTAATTGGTACCAGACTTGTCTGGGAGGATAAAAACACTGACTTGAACATCGGCTGGCCCCCGCAAGTCATTGTATAGGCCACATCGCATTCAAACGCCACTACGAATGTACAAATGGAAGTAGAATGCGTGCCGCATCCCAAAAAGGGATTGATCAACGGCAAATGCTTTATCCTTTATCCTTTATATAATCCCTACAGAAATCCCCACCGTACCCTCCTCTCCGCCCGCCTCCCCCCCCTCCTCCTCCTCTGGTTGATATTAACAGAGGAAGATCGATTTCGTTTCTGAGCTTTTGCTATTCATATTATTAAATTATTTTTCTAGTGTAAGTGATTATCCATGTGTGAGAAATCTGTTTCGCTTTCAGCTCAATCCTAGTGATCGCATATCAGCCAGTTGTGCCATGCTTCATCCATATTTTGCGGGTCTACCTCGAAATATTCACCTCCTCCCTCCCACGCCACGGTCTCCATCTTCACACTTCCCGAACTGCAACAAATGGATGCGATGACAAGGGAGAATCGTAGATGATGATGGGAATAACTTCACGAAAATTTTCGCCGCACGACGAAAATTGTGACGGTTGTCTTCGGGGCAGGATCTTCTTCTTGACTTTTCACTAGACGATTATCACGAACGATCCACCAGTGTACATATGCTTGCGTTTTTCTCCAGCTCTTTCATCTTTTTAGGCCACTTTTTTGTTAATAAAGTTATGATTCGATAGCATAGAATCTTTCTCCTCTCTAGCACCTCTTTTCATCTTTTCATTATATCATGAGATTTTATCAAAGAATTGTTTGATTCATGACTATTTTGATATCGAAATACGACTTTATTTTGCGAATATTTACGTAGTCATGCCATCACGCTGTTAAACTATCAGGCCTTGAAATATTATATTTTGAGAAGGATTCTTGACATTTGACAGTGGTCGCCTGCGACAGAAAGCCTAAGACTGTTTTTCTATGTATATCTCCACCAATCGATTATACGGGTTTATTTTGCTTGTCAGCGTGTGCAAAGATTTATGTATGAACACGATAGATGCATATTGAAATAAAACATTTCGCTATGGACCTACCCTTGTCAACGGAGAATCACAAAAAAGTCCCGCGATCCCGCGATCATGCTCCATGTGAAAATAATCTTTAAGGCCGCGTTCATAGTTCGCGACTCGGGAGATTAGGATAGTAGTAGAGTAGGAGATTGCGCTGACAAGATTGGATACGTATCGATTGAAATCGCTGGAGAGTAGTAGATTGGGCGACTTCAAGCGAATAGATCAATACATATCTAATCTTGTCAGCGCACTATCCTAATCTACTACTATCCTAATCTCCCCGTCAATACATATGTTTTTCATTGTCGCGTACTATCCTAATCTCCGGAAGTGCGAAGGCGGCCTAAGTGCTTCAAAAACGATAATGAGATGCCAAATAAAGAGGAAAGACAAGTGATGTCTTATTCATTCAAAAATTAGAACTGTAAAGTGAACCCCCCCCCCCCCCCCACTCCTGCTCAACGATACGCGCTTACTAGATCTAGGTTTACGCAAGAGAGCTCGTTCAGGGCGAGCCGCGCTTTTTGATGCCGTTTTCTTCAGCAGGTTTTTGGAGTGGTGCGCATCATGCTTATTGCCTCCAGAATGTCGTCGAATCCATGAAATGATTGAAAATATTCTTGTGGAAAACTGCAATTTTTACACATTCAACGTGGTGGTGTGTTTCATTCATGGCGTCGAATGTTTGCTTTTGCAACGTGTTAATCGAAAAACAACATGTACTTTTGCCAAAAAATGGAACTGTTTCGTGTGTTTTGCTATGCTATGGCCTTACAGGGCAAGATCAAATATCGATTTGATGAGCTAATTCCACCAAATTGAAGTAGAGTAGGAGGTGAACCGCCCAGTGAAGAAAAAGAAAAATCGTTGAAATCCCAGAACTTCGAGCCTTTTCTCTACCGCTGCGGAGAAGTTCAAAAGGCCGGCAGGGAGATGAGAATGTGAGCGCGGAGAGCGCTAGAGAAGTACGAGTAGAGAGAGCATAGCAGATCAAGTTAGCGACGCAGACAAGATATCGAGCGGTGGGCGGAGCGTGTCGCAACAGGTGGAGCGTGTCAAAGTTCTTAGCGCCTAGCGTCTAAATAACGCTTTTCGAAGTAGGGAAGTGACGCGACCTCTGCACTTGCGTACCTAGCGCTTCTAGCCGCAGTAAAGGCTCATCAAGTGGGTCTGAGCCCGAACTTCGCCTTTAGGGCGTGGGGAAGTTCACGAATATGGCAGCCGGTGGTTCATACAGCGCGTCCGATAGTCGACCTACCCATTGGCTTATCCAGAGCATGGAGTAACCCTAGACTACCAGCCGTCCGATGGTCACAGTCCTTCACAAAAGCTCTGCTTTAGCGCCTCGTGTCTCTCGAGGGGTGAAGTATTTGGCTAGAGATTCGTAAAAAAAATTATGACGAGTGTAGACGTTTCTGGCACTGAGTGGCCAAATTATTTCCAATGAGAAGGCTGAACAAGCGGTTTAGTGCAGTTTTAATGTTTTGGAAAGTTCATTCAAAAAAACCATATAAATCCTGCTCAACGATATGTTAGCATCGCTGAAACCCCGATCCAATCCTCTGATCACTATCGGTACCAGTTTTTGGTAGTGCTGAAACCAAAAGAGCGTCGTATGCAGTTATTCGAATCTCCTCGAACAGTTTCAGTTAGTTTGCCATTTGTCCTTTGCCATTTATTCCGCACTTCTATCCCACTTCTGACTATAATTTATAGTTTCCTTACAAGTTTCCTTACAAGTCCTTACAGTACCACACTCGTAAAATATATTGTTTTGAATAGTGAAATACTAGGGACAACAGTTCTTATTTGCTTTTGTTCCGTTAAAGGCAGTTTCAGGATCAATGCTGTGCTTCTTACCACGATTACGAAAGTATTGGTGCGAAATGGGCTGGCAATAGAG